GTGATCCTTTCTTAGGTGACTTTCGTTCATCGGCACTTTCGAAGTGAGGTCAAAGTATTCTCAAAATGTACTTATCTTTTACTGAAAAGGGGAAAACTAACCTAAAAAATAATTAATGTCCGGAGTCCCATAGGCATAAGCTGACCCTTTCTGCAGGTTGCCATTGCTCCGACTCCTGTGCTGGGGACACACGACAAGTCAGAGGAGGCAGCAAGGGCTTTACTGGATCAGGTTCAGCAACTGGATAAATAACGTCTCTGCAGCTGAAATAAAACCCACAATATAGCACTCTTCAGTGCCTTAGCCACAGCCTAACCTTCCCCAACAGATGTTAAGAAGAGTTGGTAGTGTTTATAAGAAACATCAGCTTCCCTAATCGTTCATTGATCTGTTGTTCTGGGCAGAGTGATGAAGTTTTTGCTGTTATTTCGCTCTGTTTCACTCAAATTCGTTTGATTTGAGCCAGAGGACGATTTAAGATGGCAAGAAGCAATCTTGCCTTTTACTCCCAGCTGACAGGATAATTCTGGCTTTGATGTTGGCAGCTTTACCTGTGCTTAGCTAATATTAATTGTAATTAAGGGAATGGGTTGTCTAGAGCTGAGTTTTACAGTTTCACACCTGAAAAAATAAATCTCTGAAAATAGCCTTTTTGGGTTCGGTGTTGTTTTGGGACCCTGTTTCTCTGTTTGCCCTGCGTGCTCCCACCCAGCCCCTGTGAAAGCAGCTGCCCCAGCACGCTGAGGGGAGCAGCAGCAGCCCTGTGGTACCAGGCCCCATGTCGTGCCAGGCGCCATATTGTGGTAGGCCCCGTGTCGTGGCAGGCCCCATGTTGTGCCAGGCGCCATGTTGTGGTAGGCCCCGTGTAGTGGCAGCCCTCTGAGGCACAGCAGCAGCAGCCAGGCAGAGTGATGCAGCACCTGAAGGCATGAGATGTTTCGGGACATCAGACCTAGACTGGGTCTGTTGTCATCGAAAGGTATGTGTTTTTAGTTTTAAAAGCAAAAAAATTGGCTATGTTTGGGGTTGTAGATGCTGTTAGGAGGCTGGTTTATAGGCTGCCGTGCCTGGTTTTGGGGCGCAGGGCAGCGCTGGGCCCTAGGGACAGCAAGCTGTGGAGCACAAGTGCTCATCTCCTGTCTGAAAACACAGATGAAGAGCTTTTCTCTGGTAAATGCATCAGACTTGAATTCTGCAGCTTGGTGTGGTTTTGAAGTGGCTCTCGAGGCTTTAGATTTGTCAAGGCTTAATACATTTTTCATTTTTTATTCTGCACTCCTTTTGTTTCATGCGAGAAGGCATACCCTTTGTTATTTCAGGATGTGATACTAACAGGCCCAGTCAGAGGAGCAGACACCTTTGGCTCTTGAATCCTTAGAGGTGTCTCCTCATCTGCTTTAGAACTGAAACGTGTCTGCTCAAAGGGCTCGAAAAACAGCATCCCTTGTCCCCTTGTGACAGGGAGTCTGTGGGTTTCAGCCTTCTCCTCATTCAAATCCACACGGTCACTTCTGCTGCTATAACCCAACAGCTTTGGGGAGAAAAAACATGTTTACCAAAGCAGCAGGAGTGCTATGGGAGGCTGAGCCTGTCACTGCCTCACTCGGTGGCTTCTTCACTAACAGGTCATGTCTCAGGAGATGGAAAGGTAGCAAGAAAAGGCAAGATCATGCTGGCCAGGAATTCACAGTCAAAATAATGCTGTAATGAGGTTAGGGAGGAGTCCTGCAAAATCACAGTGGACAGTCAAGATTGGAGATTGCCACAGTTCAGAAATGTTTAGATTTTCAGAAACTTGAAGCTTTAAGTCTGTCGGTAATTTAAATGCCTCTTTCCATTCCAGTTGTAGGTTATGGGAACAAAATGCATTCTTTTTTTACATCCTTGTTTCCTTTTTTTTTTTTTTTGTATCCTTTTTTCCTTTTTTTTTTTTTTTCTCTACAAAACAAACAATGACCCTGCCCTACCAGGAGACTAGGAGGTGACACTCAAACTGGAGATGCTGTGAGTCACTCCACCTTCCTCCTGAGATACAGATTAATATTAAAGCAAAAGCAGCTCAAATAGAGCAGTAGGATACCTGAGCTTATACCTGAGTTCAGGATACATGGACAGGAAGGTGTTCAGCCTCGTATAAAAAGGATGAGAGGTTCAAATCATGCCTAACCTTGGCATGAGTTGCAGAGGAGGAGATCAGGCTGGCTGATCCTGTCTGGCATGAGGATTTCTGAGTCTGCATAGAAGGCAACAGGCATCTTTACAGTGACTCCAGCAGGGCTTGGGGTGAGCTCCAAGTGGGCAAGTGTCCATTTTCAGTAAGAATCACGTCAAAACTAGCAGTGACTGGCAAAGTGACAGCGTTGGCCAGGAGCAGCTGAAACCTGAGCTGCCTGCTGTGCTCCCAGTATGGGTTTTTTCAAGATGGACCAATCAGAAAATGCATCATCCTGTGAAATGTGTTATTGCTCGGCCTTTTTTGTTAAATTTTTTATTTATTTATTAAATTAATGTAACAGACCACTAGCTTGGGTCAGTCAGATTGCTGTGTTCTAGTAAATAAGAAACCCTTAGGTTTATTTCCATAATTTTGTTTTGCAAGGATTAACAAAACAGCTTCTCTAGCAAATAAATAGGTGTTGTAATACCGGTGGAAGCCATGGGACTGGAAAGGATCCTCTGGCTTGTCAAAATACTTTGCATAATTTGTGATCTCAGTCAGATAAAGCAAAGTACCAAGGCTTCAGGGTTAGGGGTAACGGTTCACAATGATCAGCAACAAAACCTTATCCTTTTTTTTTGTCCTCTTTTGACTTGCTGTATGGCAGTAAAGAAGGCATACCCTAAAAATAGAAAACATGGTTATAAGCGAAGAAATTTGGCAGACAAGACTTGGTCAGATGCAGTTTTGGAACTGCTTTTCGTGGGTTTTTTTTGTTTGTTTTTGTTTGTTTGTTTGTTTTTTGGTTTTGTGTTTTTTTTTTTCAATTCAGTTCCAAGTTAAACATGCCTTTAAATTAATTAAAGCAATTACAATATCCCTAGAATATCAGTAGAGAAATTGAAGCAGTAAGCGTAATCTTCATGTTTTGTGAATTCCGAAGAAAGGCCAAAAAAAGCCAGCTTCAGGAAAATTTTCGCATGCAATGAAAACCAAATTTCTGACCAAACTGGCTAAGCTGAAGTGTCTGAAAGCAAAGACCTATCATGAAAGCACTGGCAAGCTTCTGATTATAATGGAATCAGTGTCCCGGGGTATAATGCAGCTCTACAGTTAATACTGAGCTTCTGAACTGTACTTTTCAACCTAGCTCAACTCACTGGGTCTCATCAAAGTCCTGTAATGATACTGTGCTCTATTTAGATGCCAAGCAAGCCTCAAAATAGCTCCAGAGTTTTTTCAGCAGCTTCAGCTGAGTACAGATGTTTTTCAGAAGGACAGCTAGTGCCTAGAGTTTGTGACATATAAATCCTTCCTTATGTATACTGCCACGCTTGTTAATAATCTTACAAAGTTTTATAAGCCTAGTCAAAAGGCTCTTGCATGCTTAGGTGTGGAATCATGGCAACAAAGGTGAAGCAGCAAAGGAAAAATCCATCCTTTGTGCTCTGAATCCATGTTGCCTTTCCTTGTTAATGAAAACTACCTGCGATGGGTAATTCCATGCTGCTGTTGTTTGCCTGTGTGTGTTCATTATGCTATTGACTGGAGTCCTCATCATGTTGGTTATGTTCTGCGCACCTTACTCGAAGCAGAATTTTTCTTCCCGTGTGTTGTTTAAGGTATTGACTTTGCCAAAGGGAAAAAAGAAGTGCATGCATCCACTTAAGCACACAAGTAGTTATATCAATTTCTGTCCATTAAATATACATGCGCACATCCAGATACGTGTATTGAGTGGCTGCAGGCTGTCACAGGCATGGAATTAGGTGAGATTTGAAAACTCTGAGAGATCCTTCCTAAAAACAAGATCCTGTTTTTGGGAGCATCTGTGGGCAGGAGCCTGTGTGAAGTCCTGCTGAGGACAGTAGGGCTCTGTGAGTGTTGAAATGACACTTCTCAAAGGCATTTGCAGTTTTCTAGGCCATTTATTTCAATGGTTTAGAATGAACTTTATTTTCTAAAAGAACATATTACTAAATGTCTTTTTTCCTAAAAACATCCTAGTTCTATTTATCTTTTGAACTTCGAAAAACTGTTCCTAGTTATTTGGGTTTGGTGTGGTTTTCCCCCTTTATTACCCATGCAATCAATTCTTGCATGTGAGCATGAGGGTTATTGAGTAGTTCATATAAAGCAAACAAGGATTCTAGCCAACCAAGAGATGAAGTAATCATTTTGCTAAGATCAAAGTTTGGGATTTGTAGCCTGTATGGTTCTAAGCACTTCCAAGTGATACTTGAAGTTGAGTCTTTGCAAATGTTCAATGATAGATTTAATTTAGAAGTACAAAAGTAGATGTTAATATATATTTACTCTTCCAAGCCTGCCTTCCCTTTCTACCATCCGTTCCTGTTTGATGGTGAGCTCTGCCAGAGGTGTCCCTCTTGCCCCATGTTGTGTCCCTTCACTCTCACCCTGAAATACTTTGTACAACAAAGAGTTATTTGCAGACAATCTTATCTGAACTGTGGCATTGCCCCAGCAGATTCTGCTCGTGTTCTGCAGAGGCCTTTGACCTGCTCTCTGCTTTGAGTTCTGCAAAGTCATCCTTTCGTGCATCTTTCATACTGACTGTGAATTTCTGCTTGTTTCATAAAACTGAAAAGAATGTCTACCTCTTCATTTCCTAGTTTTCCAACCAGTATCTCTAATAAACTCATTTAAACTGAAGTAAATATGTGGCTAAAATCAGTAAGTTGAAACGGAATTTGTTTTCCAAAGTTGGATTTATTTTTTCTGGGGTACCATAAGCTTACACTAAAGCATCAACTGTATGACAAAATCACTACAATTAAAACCAGAGCATTTCAAATGTTTTTGTTTAACTTTTGTCTTTCAGTCTATCCGAGAAGTCACGGGCTACGTTTTGGTGGCTTTGAACCAGTTTGAGTACCTGCCATTGGAGAACCTGCGCATCGTTCGTGGGACCAAGCTCTACGAAGAGCGCTATGCTTTGGCAATATTCCTTAACTACAGAAAGGATGGCAACTTTGGACTCAGGGAACTTGGCTTGAAGAACTTGACAGGCAAGTGAGACTCGCAAATGTTGTGGATTAGTTGCAAGAAAAAAAAGTCTGTTGAATATTTACCCCAGTGCTCCCAGGCACTTGAATTCTGCAAATAACAGAGATGCCACAAGAGGCTGGCACTTGTACGTTGTTTGAGAGACTTGTTGGTACCTCATTTTGTCCCTTTGTTTGCTTCACAACTGTACTTTTAACAGTACTGATTGAAAGCTTTGTATGGAATTCATGCCAAGAATGGACTCAAAACAAAAATGGTTCTTGAAAGAGATGAACTTTTTTCTTGGTTTAAAGATGATGAGTGTGTTGGTTTCCTTGTCATCCTTGGTTATTGCACGTGTGTTGCTTCAGGTGTTAGATGTTTTCTGCCAAGTTAGCTTAGTTTGAGCATCCCTTCTGCCTCTGCTCTTGCTGCTGTGGGGAGAGGAAGAGGATAGGAGGGTGAGCCTGTGTCTGTGGTGTATTTAATTTTGGAACTCCCTTTTCTAAGCAAAAACACTATATTATATATAGTGAGAAAAGTGCTTATTTTTTGAGACAAAAATCTAAACTAAGTCCATGGTTTTGTATTCATCCACAAATTCAGGGATGCATCATGATGTGGGGTGGATCATTAAATCATAGAATCCTTTAGGTTGG